TCACCATTTTCAGGTGTTGATTTGGGACTTGAATATAATTACTGTAAATAGTCTTCAGAAGTACTACAAAATGTACAAAAAGTCTTTCAAAAAAATCTTGAATAAGAAATTTCACATCCCATTTCTGTATATTTAGAGTAAGAGTCTCAAGAAATGATGAGTCGACATTTTAACATTTTAATCAGATATTTCTGGACAAACGTGGATTTGAAGGCTCAAATTTCGACGGTAAATCACAAAATGTTTTTTTTATATTAGCAAAAGATCTTACATTATCTTGACCGTGTTTTAACATCATTCCCTGCCTTGTTTCATCATTACTCCCTCGTCTCCGAGAATTACGTGATTTCTAAAAATATAACACAGTAAATAGTATTATTATATATATTACAGATAGGTTTTTATCTTAACACGTTCAATAAACTTCTAACGTTAACCACCTGTACAGTAAACATCAAATAAACAACATAAACAAGTAAATAGTATTATTATATATATTACAGATAGGTTTTTATATTAACACGTTCAATAAACTTCTAACGTTAACCACCTGTACCGTAAACATCAAATAAACAACATAAACAAGTAAATAGTATTATTATATATATTACAGATAGGTTTTTATATTAACACGTTCAATAAACTTCTAACGTTAACCACCTGTACCGTAAACATCAAATAAACAACATAAACAAGTAAATAGTATTATTATATATATTACAGATAGGTTTTTATATTAACACGTTCAATAAACTTCTAACGTTAACCACCTGTACCGTAAACATCAAATAAACAACATAAACAAGTAAATAGTATTATTATATATATTACAGATAGGTTTTTATATTAACATGTTCAATAAACTTCTAACGTTAACCACCTGTACAGTAAACATCAAATAAACAACATAAACAAGTAAATAGTATTATTATATATATTACAGATAGGTTTTTATATTAACACGTTCAATAAACTTCTAACGTTAACCACCTGTACCGTAAACATCAAATAAACAACATAAACAAGTAAATAGTATTATTATATATATTACAGATAGGTTTTTATCTTAACACGTTCAATAAACTTCTAACGTTAACCACATGTACAGTAAACATCAAATAAACAACATAAACAAGTAAATAGTATTATTATATATATTACAGATAGGTTTTTATATTAACACGTTCAATAAACTTCTAACGTTAACCACCTGTACAGTAAACATCAAATAAACAACATAAACAAGTAAATAGTATTATTATATATATTACAGATAGGTTTTTATCTTAACACGTTCAATAAACTTCTAACGTTAACCACCTGTACAGTAAACATCAAATAAACAACATAAACAAGTAAATAGTATTATTATATATATTACAGATAGGTTTTTATATTAACACGTTCAATAAACTTCTAACGTTAACCACCTGTACAGTAAACATCAAATAAACAACATAAACAAGTAAATAGTATTATTATATATATTACAGATAGGTTTTTATATTAACACGTTCAATAAACTTCTAACGTTAACCACCTGTACAGTAAACATCAAATAAACAACATAAACAAGTAAATAGTATTATTATATATATTACAGATAGGTTTTTATATTAACACGTTCAATAAACTTCTAACGTTAACCACCTGTACCGTAAACATCAAATAAACAACATAAACAAGTAAATAGTATTATTATATATATTACAGATAGGTTTTTATATTAACACGTTCAATAAACTTCTAACGTTAACCACCTGTACCGTAAACATCAAATAAACAACATAAACAAGTAAATAGTATTATTATATATATTACAGATAGGTTTTTATCTTAACATGTTCAATAAACTTCTAACGTTAACCACCTGTACCGTAAACATCAAATAAACAACATAAACAAGTAAATAGTATTATTATATATATTACAGATAGGTTTTTATATTAACACGTTCAATAAACTTCTAACGTTAACCACCTGTACAGTAAACATCAAATAAACAACATAAACAAGTAAATAGTATTATTATATATATTACAGATAGGTTTTTATAT